TCAACCAATTTATTTTTCAAAGAACCTGTTCACAAAAACATCCATAATGTTTTTGACTTAGTTAAACAATACTTTCCTCCAGGATGGAATTTTGTTCCTCTTAATCTTGACAAGTCAATCTCCTTTTATAAGGATATTCTTTTTCATCACCAGTCCATCATTATTAAACCAATTAATGATCGAATCTACCCTAGTAAAATCCTTTATCATTCTCTTTATATTCACAATATTGTTTCCCTCAATGAATGGGGTCTTCCTTTCCAACTCCGTGATTTACTTGGTCATTCAATCCAATATGGATGCTTGGTTTAAAATTCTTTTGTACCGTCATACAGTCACTTTTGGTTTTTTCAATTTGACCATCAATTCAAGTCAGAACTCCCTACTTGGTTCCTCCGATGGTGGTCTCAGCATGGTGCTATTCCTGAGATCATTCCATCCGTATTATTGGAACAAGTCCATTATTTCTTTTCTGTGTTTAAACCTAGTCAACAACAAAAACAATTTCCCTAGTTACTCATTTCTCTGTCCAAGTACAAAGTTCCTTGGATATTCAAATGGCAATATGGAATTTTTGATAACATAGTCACCAGACAACATTTTGTTAAATGGTGGGATAACTTTAAAACCCAAAGAATCATTGATCAAGTCCAACTCGAATTCCTAGTCAATATTCATGCTCCAACTCCTGCCATAGTTAAAGCTTAGTTGAACCCAACTGCTTCAGTCACACAAGGTAACATAGTCACACAAGCCATGGTTAAAGCTCAGCAGAACCCAACTGCTTCAGTCACACAAGGCAACATAGTCACACAAGGAAGCCCACTTCCTCTTGTTACTTGGAAGCCTAACAAGCAGTTCTTTCAAGCCCAAATCATCCAAATCCAAGTTAGCCAAGTCTAAACCCAAGTCAGCCAGTGATGAATTGATCCAGATGGCCAAGTTATTGATGGCCCAAGCTAAGTCACAAATTGAAGATGAGACCTATGAAGATTCAGACTCCTCTGAGGCCTTTGTTAATGTAACGAGTTGAATAAAATTAAATTTTTTCCTTATTATTATTGTTGTGGTATCATGAACCATTCTATTTAAATTGGTGAAAATAAATTGAATTACTTTTTGATTTCGACTTCGTAAGGCCCGCTTGGCAAAATTATTTTTTTAGTTTAGTTATAGTGATTCTTGGGTCTTGAGTAATAAATGAGATATAAATTCAATTTTTGGGTTTTATTTGATTAGCCCATACTTAATCATTTTGGTTCATATTTAATTATGTGAATGGTGGGGACCACCTTAAGTCTTTTAAAGTGAATTTATACTTTAATCTCAGTTGGGAATTTATTTTAAATTATTAAACTTCATTTATTTTGGACCCAATTGATTAAATTGTGACCCGTTAGTAACCATGTAATAGTGTTGTAGTTTCATTTTTATTATTTGACTACCATAAAAGAGTTGTGAATATTTATGGTGTGTACCATTAAACGAAATATATTTTGTGGTGAGAAAATATTATATTTAATTTTGTCATTAAAGATGTTGAAATGTACTTTTTAATTGATATATATAGGTGCATATATATATAGTTAGATATTTGTTTATACTATATATATATATATAAGTGACCAAATAGGATTTTTCTTTCAATTCTTGGAGTTCTTGCTGTGAGGAAACAAGAGAAAAGAGGTTCCAAGTTGGTTTTTCTTAGGTTTGACATTTTTAACCCCTAGTGCTTTGGATCAAAACGTAGAGGGCGGAAAAGGCGTCGTTTAGCTTCAAAAAAATTTAATTTCTGTTGCCGAAAAAATTGAAAGCTTCTTGGCTCGAGGTAGGGATTTTTCTTACACTTCTTTATGTACTTTTATTTGATTATATGGAGCTTAGAGTTGTATATAATTTAAATAGAATTTTTGAAAAATTTGTAATTTATTTGCTTAAAAGGGAAATTTTGAGAAAAATAAAGAGTTGATGCTCAAATTGCAAAAGTGTAAACTTGGAATATGTTTGTAAGGTTATGAAAGAGTTATGTTTTAAATTTGAACAAAAATGGACTTCGACTCGATTGGTTTTGAAATTTTTACCGCTTTGTGATCAAAAGAGCATTTTTAAAGAAAACAAAGGAATTACGTTTAACTTTTGGGGCTTTTGATCAAAATATGATGTCATAGTTGAATAATGCTTGGAGAATGAGTTTTGAAAGAAAATGATATTTTCTTGGGCATTAACGATATTATTTTGCTTAATGTATCTGTTGGAATAAAATGGACACGGTCAAAAATGGACATTGAGAGGTTACCGGACGTGATTGTGATATGAAAACTAGTGTAGTTGTTCATATTTAATGAGATGTGGAATATATTGTATTTATCAGAATTTTTGAAATTTAATTGTTTAAATATCTGTTTAGAAATATCTATTTGGGCTATCGGTGGAGGATAACCATGATTGTTGTAGAAATGCATGAGACTTAGGTAAATTGAACCACATTTCCTCATTTGTTGTATTAGACATTGCATTACATTCATTTCATTGGAAATGTATCTGTTTTTAAGAAATGTTTAGAAATGTATTTGTTTGCGAAAAGATGAATACTTGGTGAATCTGGGTAGGGGGTGTGGAACTGCGCGGTTAGGTGTCGAGCCTTCCAATTTACTGGTAAAAATGACAGTGATAGTGCATTAGGGCCTACTTACAGACACTCACCTAGAGATTCACAGAGCCTGTATTCATGTAACAGATATGGTTTAAAATGGAAATGGTTTTATATTTGTTATTGTATCTCAGCATTGCATACTTTATAAAAAAAGAGATAAATTGTTTTATTATGAGCATGGCATGAGCATACTCCTCTTTAGTCTTGTCATGGTCCATATATTGTGTAGTATATCTCTACTGGGCTGTGGCTCACCCTATAAGGGAAACCATTTCAGGTACAGGTGATATGCCCCCACCAAGACACTGACTTGGGAGGACTCGGACCCGAGGCTCCATTTTTGTTTTATTGTTATTTGTTGAATGTAAGCTCAAGGCTGTATTTGCGATGGGTTGAAACTCCATTTTGTATAACCAAGAATGTTCTTGGATAAATTTGTAAGCATGTAGGGTACTTATTATCTGTTTGGCTTCTATTTCATACTTGTTGTAAAATGCATGCTTGGGATTGGAACTGAGGCATTGAGATGTGAACAACATGTTTTTGGTATTTGGAATTTAATGGAAATGGATGTATGCAATAGTTAGCTATATATATGTGTCTGTCTAGCAAGTGGGTTTTGTTGCATAAATAGATATACCCTGCCTAATTTTCGGGGCGTTACAACTAATAATGATCCTTATGGACCTCAGTTCCAAGATGCTCAGGACCCATATGCTTAAACAGTCATTGGATTTTATATATGTACAAATCAGCTTCAATCACTACTCTTCTTTTGAGAAAAGCTGCTGTTTTGTATCTATATCGATTCCCCATCAGTCACATGCCTTTACCGAAAGTAATAAATAGTGGAAAAAAGTAAAATTTATTATTCACCATTCATCAATCAGACAATTCAATATAGTCAAAAGCAATAATCAACTTTTAGTCAATCACCGCAAGAAGCAGACAACACCCATGTGCCTCATCATGCCCCTTTCCAGTCATATTCCTTCAAGGCTCACAGTCATCTTCATTGGTTATAAAAGAGCCTCTTCAATCAGTTGTAAATCAGAGTTAGAACCGAGAGCAAACCAATATTTCTCTCATATACCTACTCTGATATTAAACTTGTAATTTTATTTTAAGTTATGTATTTTGAAGCTATTCTTTTAAGTTACTTCCAGTAAACAATTGTAAATTTTATTTTAGTTATCTTTGTTTTAATAATTAATTATCTATTTCTGATTTTCTGATTTCTTTTCTGATTTCTGATTTCCGATTTCCTTGCTTCCGCCTATCTGTATTATTTTATTATAATATATATAAATTATATAATAATAAATAAATAGTCACCTTTTGGTGACTATTCGTTAACAATATTCAAGACACACCACCATCCAACGTCATCATCATATTTAACAGCATTATCGTCTCTTTTCTTTTTCTTCTTTTATATTGTTTTTATTTATTTGTTTATTTTTGTAGAGTTTTAATTAATTTGGATACTATTATATAACTTAGATTTTTATGTAAATATGATTTTATCAAATTATGTGTTCGCTGGTCATGAATACATATTATAAACAATTTAAAAAAAATTAAAATTTGAGATTTATAAATAAATAAATTTAATACTCTGAGACCTTTAAAAAAAAATTGCTTAAAATATTAAAAAAATTTAGTAAAAATAAACAAAATACGAAAAATTAAAAACTCAATTTTTTGTCCGAGTTAAACCAAAGAAAATTTGTTACTTTTTTTGAAATGATATGAATAAAATATCTATATTATTTTATTATTTTATATACATAAAAGTTAAGGGACAAATATGTCATTTTAATTTGACAGGGAGATAAGTGTAATTTTCAAATGTGAGGGGATCTCTATTAAATAGAAATCTCAGGGGGTGTTAGTATAAATTACCAAATTGTAAATATACTTTTTGAAATTTACTTAAAATACAGATTGTTCTTATAGTTTGACAAATTACGAATACTATAAGAATTTTTTATTTAATATAATTAATTGAAAAAATAAAATTTCTAACTATTCTTTCATATAATAATAAAATTACTTAAATGATTAATTGAAATAAATTTATGATATCATTATTAATTGACTTGATAATTTATTAATAAAAAGAGTTATTTCATATTAAATTAAAAACTTCAAGAGATGAAATGAATGTTTAAAATTATACGAGACAATTCATATTTTAAGTAAATTTTAAGGGTTATTTGTAATTTATGCATAAATCAAAAGGCCGCTTTGAAATTAACTCCCAAGATTGTATTATTTACAGAATTACCACAGCTGTTTACTCTGCAACTGAATGGCGCCCAAAATATGAACTCTGCAATCTCTCTCTCTCTCTCTCTTTCTCTCTCTCTCTAAAATTCTCATTTGTCCACACTCACAGCAATTCACACTTCACGAAGAAGATCATCACAGTGAAAAATGTACTTCAACGAGCCAGACCACCACCAATCGATCGAATTCGAACCATACACCACTCCACACTCATCATCACCACACCAATCCTCAACCTGCTCACAAGGCCACCGATCCTCTCTCAATCTCCAAACCCTAGAAGGCGGTTCTATCTGCTTGCTTTGCCTCTCCAATCTCATCTCCAACCCTCGATCTCCGACAATCCATGTCTCCTACGCTCTCTCTCAGCTCTCTCATGCCATCTCTCAGCCTCCTTTCCTCCGAGACCTCCTCAGCTTTCACCCTCACTTCCTCGTCTCTCCCCTCGTCGAAGCCCTATCGTGCTTCGATGATGAGCCCATCGCTCGCCAAGTGATCGATCTCGTGTCGGAGATGTGTAATTCGGGCGGTGATTTGGTGTGCGGTGAGTTCGTGGCTAGGATCGCCAGTCGGCTCTCGTCTGGTGCGTTGGCGTGGAGTCGTCGCCAGGTGTACGCGGTAATGTTTCTGTGGCTGTTCTGATGCATTTTATTGGTGTGAATTTGAATGCGAAATGTAAGAACGTATATGTATGTGTTGGTGTTTGGTTGCTGAGAAAACAGGGGAATACGAAGCATCATGGACTTTTGATGAGGAAACAGAGTGAGAATATGAAACATAATGGATTTTTCTAATCTATAAGGAGCTCAACTAAGCGTTTATGGTATTTGATTTGTGTGTATGTCATGGAAAAACTTTGCTTAGTTGCTGAGAAAACAGAGTAATATGGAACAATAGAGATTCTTGAACTCATTTTTGTATTGTTTTTAAATTATATGAAGCACCTAATAGAAATCTCAGTACATCAGAATCTCTCTCTCTCTCTCTCTCTCTCTAAAGTATTGAGTTTCGTTTCTTCAGTGTTCCTACAATTTTCTCTGAAACCAAACGAACCATAATAGATTAAGATCATTGGATTAAATTGGTGAACTATGCTTCTTTTCATGACTAAATTTTCTGAGTTTCTGTTTGGCTTTTCTTGCTGGAGTTTTTGTGAAGGAATTGATCATATGGAGATAAGGTGATCCTTCTAGTAACCATGGTAGTTTGCTGAATTTTCTGACTTCTATTGATGGGAATATCTGAGAAATCTAGGAATCACAAAGCGAATATCTTTATGGCATAGAGAAGTAGTTCAAAATTGTTCACACAAAATGGTTCTACAAAACTTCAACAAAAGGACAACTTAGGTGCAAATTAATCGTACATGCACTAAAATAAAAATGGAAGTGTCAATGTCACAAGAAAAACATAGTTATTATCTACCTGAATGTTATAGCTTGAAATATCTCATGTCTGATCACGAAACTTGGATGAGTCAAATGTTAAACTATATTCACCAATTATTTCAATAGGTAGTTCTACATATGAGAACTCTAATATATCACTTTTATATTGGTTTTATACCATGATAGATGAGTAACTTTTATGTGTTTGGTGCTTCTTATATTAATACATTCACATACAATGAACTTAAATTAGCAATAACAAAACAAAGATATAAAAGCTGTCTCATTAGTATCTGCAAAGCAAAGTTTTCCTCTTTACCGGTAACATTCATTAGAGGCTAATGGTCAGTCTCATACTACATATAAGCAGGTCTGTTACCATCTCTACTATGCCTAGAAATGGTTAGAATGTATTCCTTTACTCTCAAAGGATTTGCTAAGTTTCTTGGAAACCAAAGTTTTCTTTGAAGCGAAAAATAATATCCATATCCTTGAGTGGCTTTGATTTGATTTTTATTCAAATGCAGCTTCACTGCTTAGGCATTCTTTTGGGTTATCAGAAAAATAACCCGTATTCCCACATGAGTGACAAAGATGCCCTTATTTCCAACCTTATCACTGGTCTTCAGTTACCAAGGTAACAGCTGAAAGCAAACTTTCGTGTTAGATATCTCCTTCTGTAATGCATACCATATTTTACCTTTTTTGAAGTTCCGGTCATCCTTGTTGAATACAGTGAAGAAATTCGAGGAGAGGTCCTCTTTGTTCTGTACAAATTATCCATCCTCCAATATACATACAAGGATGATGATGCCACTGATGTTTTCTATTCCTGTTGTCCCAAGCTCTTGCACTTGTCACTAGAAGCCCTCATGAAGACTCAGAGCGATGATGTTCGCTTGAATTGTGTAGGTCTGTCAAGTTCTTCCTAATTTTCTTTTTATTTTTTTAAAACACTTTTCTGATGCTAAAATACAGCTGTGAGTGGCAGGATGACATGGTTAAGTCAGACTTGTCTTGAATGAAGTAAATTCACCACATGCTACAAAAATATTTTATGAGGATAAGCAAAGTAATAAATGTAGGAAAATAATCCATCCTCATAACAAATTGAGAACGTGCATACCATGATTCTGTTGGGCTAGTTAAGTTACCTGTGATTGCTACTGGCATTCTTTGGCAACGTGTATTTTGGGTGCTGAATGTAAGGACAAATAGATTCATATGCAGTAATCTAGGACTGTTTCTTCTTGCAAGTTGCACCTTAATACCATGAAACTTAAATTACATAATGAATATATGACCTTTAATTGATCCCTTGTAGCACTTCTGAGTGCTAAGAAGTTACTATGCACAATTTTGTTAACTTTCCTTTTTCCTGGGTTGAACTACACAGTGAGACTATGTGAAACTTTGAATAGTGCATACCATATGTAGGACATCCTGACACAGCATGGGCATGCACTCATGTCTAGGTGCAATGTTTCTCCAGTCACATTCTAAATGCATGTCATCTTTTTTGTCATCATCTTCTACCACCAACTTGTAATCCGTTCACCTGTACAGCGCTTCTGACGGTTTTGGCTCAGAGAGGGTTCTTTGAGAATGCATGTGCAAGTGATACAAGCTGCAAGAATTCTTGTGAAGCTGACAACTTCATGCAAAAAACAGAACATGTAATAGATGGGCCACCTCTGAATGTCTTGTTTGCTGAGGCCGTCAAAGCCCCATTGCTTTCTTCAGATAGTGAAGTGCAAGTTAGCACATTGGACTTAATCTTTCTTTATCTGTCATGGGAAGGTGGTTCAGGCAACGAAATCCGAATATTGATTGAAGAAAACATTGCAGATTATGTGTTTGAAATACTAAGATTGTCAGGTAAGCTTCATAAGCAAACACGAGGTACTAGGCTAGCTATTCATTTATGGCCTGGCCTTCCATTATAATGATAAAAAACATTGATTGATATTATAATTATGCATTTGATGGTGCAGTATCTTTCTATCAACATTTTTTTATCATTACCTGACTTTTTGAACCAATCAGTACAGTTCTTTCTAGTTATCCAAGAAAAAATGAAATAAATGATCATTTTATCTGGTCCACTTTTTGCATGATTTGATTATAAATTTACAGGTTGCAAAGATCCTGTGCTCACCTCTTGCCTTCAGGTTCTTGACCTTTTATCAACAGATGAACAGGCTTTCATACAAAGGCTTGCTATTGGATTCTCAACTCTGGTTCCTGCTCTGTGTTATGTAGCTGAAGTTCCTTTTCATCCTGTCCAAGCTCAGACACTAAATCTCATTTGGAACTGTATTTCAAATTGCCCTGGAATAGTATCCACTTCTTACATTGAAGATCTGGGCCTTATCTTGACAGGGATGCTTAAAAGATATACTGATGGGGAGACTGGTATGGTCACAGAGACATTCTCTATGGCCTGCTCAATCCTTGTAGCTATTATGAAATCTCCGTCTTCTCATGAGTCTTCAAATTTCTCAACATCAGTTCAAGATGCATCAAGACATGCCATTCTCACTTGTTTAACCCACCATGGAAAATATCCCAGCCAACTGTTGCACTCCCTCTATCTGCTGAAAGAGGCATATGCATACAGTTATGAAGGAAACTCCACAAACTCCTTTGATATGGAGCTAAGAAACTGTGTTATAAACATATGTAAAGCAAATTTATTGCCTTGGTTTGTAACAGCTATCAATGAAATGGAGGAGGACAGTGTTCTTGGTGTACTGGAAACTTTTCATTCGATACTGCTTCAGGATTCTGATATCCAGCCCACAGAATTTGCAAATATTCTGGTCTCTTCCTCTTGGTTTAGTTTTACATTTGGATGTTTAGGTTTATTTCCAACAGAAAAGATGAAATGGAGAGTTTATCAGACATTCAGTTCAATCATGGATGTTCTTCATGGAAATGACTTTGGGCAACCCATTAGAGATGTTGCTTTACATCTGCCGTCTGATCCTATCGATTTGCTGTTCCTGCTAGGGCAAAAGAGTTCCAATAATTTAGAATTGTTTTCTTGTCAAACCGCAGTTTTGTTGATACTATATACTAGCTCATTGTATGATGATAGGTAACAAGCTTGCAATTCTTTATCTTACTTCTATTAACATTTACTTTCCTGTCTCGTTTATACTTCATTGATTTCTTCTTCCCCAGGCTTGCAGATGAGAAGCTGGTTTTAGCTTCTCTAGAGCAATATATTCTAGTTAACAGCAGTGAATTCCGATATGGGGCTTCTGATTCAGTGCCAATGGAGCTTTTGGTAAATCTTTATGGCCTGTATAGGGGTCTTGCCAAGAAGAGTTACCAAATTTCCTACAGTCCAGAGGCTGAAAGAATTCTTTTCCATCTAGTGACTGAAAAAGAATGGGATTTTCCTTCTTCAAGAATTCACTCGACATCGCTGAAATGGTTGTTTCAACAAGAGAAAATCTGCAAGCCATTGTGTAACCAGATCCTGAAGCTGTGCAGATGCAATAGCTCACAAGGAAACCACATCATCATGCATGGAAACAGTAGTCAAAACATAGGTGTACATAGAATAGGGGAGTTAGCTGCATCAGGAGATAACTTTGCAGCTACACTTCTGGTGTATGTTTTGAAAGATCTCATAGAAGAACACCAAGATCATGACATTGTTTCAGTAGTTAGTATTTTGGCAGAAATCATCAACATTTTTCCAGCTGCTTCAGACCAATTATGTTTGCATGGGATAGGCAGTGTGATCCAGAATCTTTATTATTATTCAAGGCATTCTTCTTCACCGATGTTCATGGTCATCTGTCAACTTACTTTTAGCATTCTATATTCAGTGCATTCTGAATCGCTTTCTGATGATGATGAAGTTTGGCTTGCAATCACAATGAAGGTGAATAACCAAATTCTTCTAAATTGAATCTTGCCTTTTGTTCTGAGATATTAATCGATTATTGACATTTTGCTGTAGTTGATGGACTACCTGGTCCCCTCAGTTGCTGCCGATAGGTGGACTGAAGAATGCCTGATAATAATTGGCATTTTTTCCTTAATTTTGAACCATTCCACTAAACAAGCACTGGTTGAAACTTCAAAAACTATACTTTTGAGTACTCCCTTGGTCTCCATAATTAACAACACAATCCATGTAGCCTGTTCAAAGGGACCTGCTTTAATTGATCACGACGAAGGAACAGAAACAGGAGAAACCCTGTTATTTGTGCTTTTACTACACTTCTTTTCATTGCGAAGGTAATGAATTTCACTAAATATACAGATCTAATTCCTAGACATTCAAAAACTGATGTAGTTGTTTCATCAGTGTGCATGCTGTTCTACGAGGGAGTGTGGAATGGCAAAATTTTCTTGATCAAGAAAATGGGATGCAGCCACTATCCTTCATATGCATTCACTGCCATGATTTGTGCAGGCTGGTGCATTTTGGTTCTGCTCCTGTCAAGCTGGTTGCTTCGTATTGCCTGTTGGAGCTGTTTACCAGAATATCAGACCAGAAAAATGAAAAATCAGAAAAGTTAAACTTCACCGCCAGATATCTATTGTCTGTAATGGCTGTATTAGAAGGCCTAGTTTTCTGCAATGATATTAGAGTGGCCATGAATTGTAGCCTCTGTTTATCAATGATTCTGGGTTGGGAAAAGCTGGATACGGAATTACGAGCCAAGCGAAGAAACAACTGGTGCAGGCTGATTGTAGAAGAGCTAGCAATGTCTTTGGCAGTCCCATGTTTGGCATCTGAATCATTTATGATTCAGCACAAGCCTGCTGTTCATGTGGCAGTCGCATTGTTGAAACTGCATAAGGTTCCTGAGTGGATGAGTTATGTTTTTGATGATTCTTGTATATTTGGTATAGTTAACAACCTTTCAGCAAACAATGTGAGTGCTGAGATGGTGCTTTTATTTCGAGAGCTAATGAATGCCGGTTACCTGAAAACTGAGCAAATTGCTAGTCTAAATCGGGTATTCCAGGTGAGATTTCATGGCTCTGTTTCATGCCCTTTTGTTTCCAGCATTAAATTGATGAATCTCTTTTATTGTTTAAAACACAAACGTTCCATCCTCGAATTTATGTTGATCCAAAAGCTTAGAAAACTAATAACCAATGCTTTTGAAAGAAAGATGTCGCATTAGTATCAAATGTTAAACCTGTATTCTGCTTTTATATTGCAGGTATGCAGGAAACGTCTATATGCCAACGATACTCAAGATACCGAAGGAGAGGAGCATATGGAGAAGGTTGGAGCCATCCGATATGATGATACAGGAAAAGTGTGTCAGTCTCTTATTAAGATCATGTCATCCGAAACATCTCTAGGTATATTCCCACTTAAAAGTAATAGATTGTTAGAAGAAATAGAACTGTTTTCAAAAAGCTTGATGGAAGAAGATGACATCTAAGGGGAGTTTTTAGATAACTGAATTTTACATTGCTCACTCAGTGAGAAAATGATCTGTCATTCTTCTAGTCAATGGCACTTGAAACCTTAAAGGCACTGTTTTCAAAGTTGAATAAAATTGTAGAGATTGAAATACGTAGACACAGTAAAGATTTTAAGTGAATAATTTATTAAAAATAGATGTCATCTTGAATATGTTCAACGTATTAATTAATGTTGTTGACATAGTCACGTACACATGTTCACACATGATTCTCAATTGAAATTACCTTGCTAGTAAAGCTGGTTAAAGCGTTACATTTACAAGATGCAAAATCATTTGTAACATGATAGACACACCATGGACCATGATTGGTTGGTCATTCCATAACTGGCACGTAAATTTGGTAAATGGATTATTATCCGAAATGAAATTATGACAGACAACAGGATGTGAAAACTAATCAAAGAGAACTTGAGTGAAGACTTTCCAAGAATGTCGGAAGTACAACTTTGTAGCAGAACACCTACCTTCCACCACATTACTACTGCTGCCTCCCTTGCGTTACTAAAAACAACACCGTTGTGCCTCCATACCCAGTTCCGACACACACACACACACACCATTCTGAATGTACCCAAGTGTGCAGATATTGTTGAGAGTTTTGTTTTGTATTTGATTGGAAATTTTTCTTTGTTGTCCCCCCACATTAAAAACATATCAAAACTTTAATGGGTTTAAATTGTTAAAAGTTTTTTTTATCAAACATGGGTAAAATACAATAGAACTCATGGAAGCTTATGATGTGCGTCATGCCCAGCATGCTTGCACTTTTCACATTGAAGAAAGGATTTCTTGAACATGAAAGTTATAAAAGTAATAGTAGTTTAAATCAAAAGTTGATAAAAATTAATGGTAATTTGGAAGAAAAATCATTATTTATTGGTAATTCTTCTGATTTTTTATCCTTCATTTATGAGATTTTATTGGGTGCTTTTATTTTCATACACTGAAAATTCTCAGCAAACCATTTCTCAATAAACAGCAAATGATTTCAAAATTTGATTTTCTATTCTATACACACTAACTCAAAATCCCCCCTGCCGAAATTAATGTAGACAGCAAGTGGGTGAAGGAGGTTAGTCAAGCAGAGATCAGAATGTAATAACAGAATGAATTATTTCTCGCAATACTTTGGCAATCTGTTACTCTTTAGCCAACAAATCACAATTTGTGTTGTTCCTCCCTTTAGTTTTGAGTTAGACTGAGGCCTAGTTTGGGAAGACGAAATAAGTGCATTTTTTGACTTTTTATGAAATATGGGTTGGGTTTGGGTTGGGTTTGAAGTGATGTGTTAGAGAGATGATGTGACTTAAATAAGATGATGTGACTTAAATAGGATAGTGACTTTTTGACTTTTTATCTTTTTTCAATCATGCCAAACTTGGCCTCAGAGTTAGGGTGGTTTACAGGTTTTGAGGCTTCAAATCTTCAAAGGGTTCAAAAAAATAAAGCAAAAATGTAAGTGTGTTATTTACTGAAATTTCTATCAATCTCTTTACATGGAGTAGGCCCGCAAATGCACCTCGTGTGTGGAGTAATTATTTGGTCTTTCAGAAATTTCAAAGTGGCAGTGTGGTTATCCAATAATAAAAAGCTGTGTACTTACACAGACCAAAAAAAAAAAAAAGAATAGCATAAGAAAATGACAAAACATGATTAGTTGGGCACACAGCCACATGGTATTCCCGAAAGGCTAGATAATTTCTGCTCTTGATGGATGATAAAAAAAATTCAATAAAAAATCAGCCGTAGGCATTGTTGGTTAGAAAAATGCTCTCCGCGAATGCTCCAACGGTTACTCGATATCACGTCGAGTTGATCATGTTTGTATCAAGTTATTTCAAATTCATGTAAATTTTTTTAATTAATTGTGTCTAGGACACTAACTCAATTCGAGTGTTGGCTTGAATATGACAAAGATGATACGATCAACAAACGCTGGTCTTATTTATTGGATAATAAAAGTAATTAAGATAGGGAAAAAATTCAAAAATATTATACATATGTATTCAATATATCTTTTGAGGGAACATGATATTTATTGAATACAGTGAGATTGACAATATAACAAGGATAATTCCTGGTAGCTCGAATAATTGGCTCGACTTTTGGCTCGAATCTGTAAAACGACGTCGTTTTACAATTTTTTTTTTTCCCCTTTCTTTTTCTTCCTTTTCTTTCTTTCTTTTCTTCTTTTCTTCTTCGTCTTCTTCGTTGAAACCAGGAACAGAGGGCTAATAAATCTGTACAATAACTGCTAATAGTGATAATACCACACAAGTACTTTTGCAGTTCAACAGACATTAGCCATACTTCACCTGCACAATCTTCACTAAATTTACTGCCCGATTGCATCTCAATTATCAATCTCTCTCGGTCGCTAGCCAAAGGACTTACAACACACCTAATTCACTGAAGAACAACATCCAAATGGTACCCAGTACGGTCTCCCCTTGACTTTCCTCTTCTCTTTCTTAATCTCAGTCGGATCTTCACGATCCACAAGTGAATTCACACTAGTTTCCGAGGCATCATTGATTTTTGTGGCGTTTTCATCTTTCTTAACCACAGTTTTCACGGTTTGGTTCGAGTTAGGCAACTTTGATTTGGCTTCACTCAGAAGGGTTTTCAAAGGAGTGTGTTGTTGTTTCCCGGCGCTCCAGTTTGTTACCTTGGCAATAATCTCTTCATTTTTCTTCTTTCCTTGTAAAGCTTCAGATTTGGGCTGTCGAGTGTTCTGCCCCATCTGGATGTCCAGGGAAGCTCCTTTCTTGTCAACCCCACCATTTCCGCGTTCAACCGATGTCATGAAAGAAGGGGCCTCAAAAACATCTGATTGGTTACAATAGTGTCCCTCTGAAGTAGTTTGGGGCTTTTGCAAGTTTACTTTCTCTGATTGTGCCGGTGCTTGGGAAGCATTTGATGGTGAAAGTTCATCCGTGGCTGCTGGTGCATCTGACTGGGTGGAAAGCACTGCACCATCCATAAAAAACAAGCAAACAAAATGAATTTAAGAGAGTACCTCAATATATTAAATGTGAGCATGTATGAATTGAAAATTGAGCATCACAATATTCTGAGGATCAAAACAATCATAATGCAAAATAGACTGCTACATGAAACAGAATTACTGGTGATAACACTGCACATTGTTACGCTTTTTTTAGTAAATGTTATGAATCATTGTGGTAAATTTTATACAATCTTCCAATGATCTGTGGTTTCTGAAGTGAAGTTATTGTATGTTATAAAAATTTGAGATATAGTTGTTTTTCTAGTAATGTTGTGTTTTTTTTTTGTTTTTTCATCAAAATGTTAAACAATAATAGATTATATTGCATGATAAATTGTTGAGTAACATTTCAATGAAAAAAACGTAATACATAACTACATCACAAATTGATGTAACAATATCTTCACTTCAGAAATCACAAATTGTAGAAACACTACTAGAAGATTGCGTAACATTTACTAAAAAAATACGTAACAAGGTGTATATATTTAAGGGGGTGCATACCATAGCATTTTCCTAACAAAGGAGATCATGAATGCTAAATAACTGAAACAGAATTATCTAAATCATTGAAAGGATTAAAAGAATGTACATCAATAAAAATTCGTACATGTTCTGATGTGTGCATGCAGGGGTGCTTCTAAGTGTGACGACTTGCTCAAATAAGAAGACCATCTAAATGTCAAGTCATTGAGTATATCTGATCACTTTCATACAAGAAGCAGCATGGACAGAAACTGATATTGTGCATGGAGAGGCTAGATAACTAAGATTCGAACTTTCAAATAAACCAAATAAGAAAAACAGTTCGTGAGAAAATTTCAATTGCTGATTTTTCGCATTTAGAGAAACATGTGAATGTACCTGAAACAGAACCCCAATTTCCTTCCAAACTATCAGTTTGGCTATCAACGGAAATGTAAACTGCAGAAACTTCAACTGGTTGTTTCGTGAACTTTTCATCACCCAGATCACCATCCTCGCAATGGTTATATTCGACTGTAGCAGAACTTTTCATAGTATATTCCGACTCTAAAGGCAAATGCTCTGTGGGGTTTTCTGAGATTTTCTGTATTATTTCAGCATCATCATCATGATTTGATTTGGCACCAACACTCTCTGCCAGTACTTCATTCTTAATGCTGTAGTTGGGTTTTTTTGTGGCTTCTTGAGAATCTTCATCCTGGAAATTTTGTGAATCAAAATGAGTTGGTGCCACAATTCCCAAGTGGTTTGAATCAGGACCCACTTCACGTGAATTTGAAACAAAATAAGTGGTGGTTGCAGTATCTATTCTGTCCGATGCAGCAATTTGGGGTTCAGAGAGTCTGCATGCAGATTCAAGGGTTGGTTCTGAGCTCATTTCAGGTTTTTCCTCCACTGCCACCCCTCTGCTTTCGTTTCCAGCTAGATCAGAAATTTTAATTCCAGCATTTTCATGCTCACCGCTATTACCAGCTCCAAGTAAGTTGGTACTTTGACCAGCTTTCGTTACAGAAAAATCATCTTTCTCATCAACTTCCCTGCTGGCTTTTCCATCTGTGTCACATTTTTCAAGTTTATCCATCTCATGATCATCAGCATTGACACCTCCTTTTAAGTTGGTTGAATGACCAACTTTATCATCCATAGATATAGGCATAGGAATCACAGCCGAGAGGCCCCTTATGGTAGGCTCTGGCAGATACTCCTGCGATGAATCGTTGTGAAAATCACGAGGTTGATGTCCTTCAAGATGGGCATCTGTTTGAATTTCCTGGGTCCCACTCTTGGTTGTCTCTGGAGGGGCTTCCACATCTTTGGGCCTGAGGACTTCACTGCTGACCTTTAACTCCGAAGTTTTAGCTAGCCCTTCAATTTCTGCAACTAAAACATCCCCTCTGCCTTTCTGTGTAATGTTATCTTGGTTATTATCTACCACAGGTTCAATTACTTCACCAAAGTCCAGAGGTAATGGAAGGTTTGATTTCACTCCTGTATGGTCTTTGAAATCTTTGATCATAATCTCTGCATGGTCTATTACAGGTATATCAGTAGCTACTGAAAGCACATGGACATTTACATTCCCTTCCCCATTTGTGTAGGAATCCTCAACTGAATTACCATGACTACCAACATCAATATTCTTGACAGCCTCAATGTGTTCAAAAGATTTAACTTCAGGAGAGAGGTCACATAGAGAAATTGCGGGTCCCAATTCATGACTTTGTTCTTCCTTTGATTCCACAATTTGGTTTTCTGTTGCAGAATCGGAAATTTTTAGATCCATTTCCTGTAACTTGCAAGCCACCTCAGATGCTTCAGTAGCAGTTTCACTGGGCGTGACAGAAAAATCAGATAGGACTTTATCCACGTTGCTTTCCTCATTCCTCTTTACATCAGTCTCATGCTCAAGAGGAACTGTTGAATATTTCATGGCATGGTCACCAATATCTTCCTTCATGTGCTTTTTTGGTGCATCTGTCAATGTTTCAGATTTGCTAGGGCAGAAATCATCGGCTGAACCATTCACACCACCGATCCCAACAGCAAGTTCCTCAGTCATGTTTTTAAAACTTATCACCGAATCAGAGTGAGAGCTCAATGCAATATCGTCAGAGGGTGTGGCACTTCCCAACAGGTTGGTTGCAGTTTCGAGAATGTTGGGGTTATGCATTTGACTTCTCTCTGTTGAAGTGTTTGGTAGTTGAACAAAACCTACAAATAACTCAACAAATAAGAGGTGGAACTGAAATTGCTAAATATGTGTCACTTGTGTCAAACAGAAAAGTGGGGCATAATATATAGGTTGCATGTCATAGCATTGCAAAAGAAAAAAAAAAAAGAAAAAAGAAAAAGATCGATGAACTTCGCTTCAAGCCTTGTAGTTAACCCTTTCCTTTCCCAGAATAGGCTAACAAATGTAAAACAAAAAAAGGACTGCCATCTGGAAAATCAAACATAAATGACCAGTTCCAACTACTAATGCAGTGATTTATTTATCAAAAAAAATAAAAAAATGCAGTGATGCTTTGAAAAGAATAGGAGGGGCAATCAACACATGACAACTCTATTTGGGCATGACTACCCATTGAGGAGCCAAACAAGAGGGACCTAGTCTAGTCTGCAATTATGGGGGATTTGCAGGCGATCCACTAGTGTTCTCTCAAGATGGGTTGAATGATAGCTTCACCCTAGCACCATCAAGGGCATAGTGGCAAGGAGCTGGTGACCCAAGATTAATGGGCATGAGGCTTGCATGGTTAAACATGTCACAGGTAATAGACTAATAAGGTATTATTTGATGATAAAACAAGCAAGATGCTTTGTGGATGATTTAATTGGTTAGGTCCTGTTTGAGGGTTTGGTTTTTGTATTCTTTCGGCATCTCCTTGATGCTTTCTTAATAAAACTTCATTTATCAAAAAAATATTATCAGAGTCATTCCATTTGTTTTGCATGAGCTTTACAAAGACACTTTCTCGTTCCACTCTTTCTACAACTACATCTTCCATCTATCTGCGGAACTTTATATATTACATGGGAATAATCTTGCATGACTTTATGTGAACTTCCTTCACATTCTAAAAACGCCATCTATTTGCTAATGGAACTAACCATCCATCTATTAGTTATCCTAGCCCATGTTCCTCTCAAATTTTGCTGGCTCGTCATTCGGCTCATCAGCCATTCAATCCACACTTGAATGCACTAACTTCACGAAATTTAGCATCACCAACGAAATTTACTTGTAATGAATTTGCACATGATAGGTTCATACCCCTCCCACCCTTCCTATCTTCCCACAATATCCTTTCATGAATGCCGATCGTCAAAGTTAGTTACAAATCCAAAGTACAAGTAGGTGAAACGCAACAATACTTCAAGTTTCAATGGGTCCAAGTGAAGGCATTTGTGAAGTACCTAAAAGCATCCAGCAACCATGGTCTCTTCTTTCTTAATTCATTTACTACCAACTATTCTGTACACTTCTTTTCCATCTTATGTTGTTAAGACTAACACAGAAGACAAGTAGCAACAAGTAACTAGGAAATGCATAATATAGTCATCTACAGGTATTAATTGTCAACTAAATGAAATAGTTATCAAATTACATAAAATCCTCACCAGTGGTTGCATCAACCTTTAATTGCTGGTTAGTGCCCTGATCACCCTCCACAACTTTTTCACTACCGGGACCAAACCCAGTATCCAAAAATTCAGTAACAGCATCTGAAAACACATCTTCTTCTGATCTATTCGATATCCCACCGACTCCACCTCTACTGAATTCCTTAGTCATCCTCTTCTCAATTTTGGGACCTTACACAACCATTAACCAAAATTAGCATTTTCTTTCAATAAAACAAATCAAACAAAGACAAAGTATTTAATAAGAACTACCAGAATTCTCACTCAGGGATTGCTGCCGATCATTATCGGAGTCGTGTTCATCATCAGAAACAGTCAAATTAGAATGATCTCCTGAATCAATCATGGTATAGCCCTCAATGGTTCCACAAATCTTCTTGTGGGCACGTCTCTGTTTGGCACTTGGGTGAGGGTTCGGAAAGGGCCAACCACATTTGTGACACAGATGAACCCCATGGTTCTCATGCCCTACAAATACCCACAAAAAAAAAAAGAAAAAAAAAAAAGAAAGAAAAAAAAAACCCACTAAATTAAAATCTCCAACAAATGGAATACAAATGATAATTTTGAAAACCCACAAAGAAACAAGATACGTTAGACCAGGCAAAGATATATAAAAAAGTGCACACATTCATAAACTGAAAACAATTCTATAAAACATTGATGTCTTGTTGTGAATATATATATACATAGAGAACAAAATAAAATAAACCCAAGAGAAGAAAAAAATCAAAGAAGAGATCAAAACCCAATTTAAAGAAAAATGAAAAACTAAAAACAAAACCTGAAAGACTAGTCCGTTTGTGATGTTCGATATCCATTAATCTGAAAATCAGAGAATCGGCAGAAAATAGAGAGAGTAGACCGAGTAAAGTCGAAAGTCTTTTAGAGTGAGGAGAAGTTGAGAGCAGGCAAGGCAGGAGTCTATGTCGTATGTGAAAATGTGACCACTAGAGAGAGAGAGAGAGGAGAGAGAGAGAGAATAAGACAGTGATGATAACGGATTAACGAGTAACCCATGTGCGCATGTTATAATGGGGTCACGAGTCATGTTTACCAAACATAATTTCTTAGGTAAAATTACATTTTCACCGATAAATTATTATCCTTCTTCTTTCATTTTCAGTCTATAAATAAAATATTTTCTCATTTTGATCTTGAAATTATCAAATTCTCCTCACTTTGTTTCAAATTATAATGATTGTTATACTTGTGACAAAAAATTAAGAAATTATTGATTGGTCTTCGGATACTATCAGGTGATATTTTAAAGATATAGTAATTAATGAAAGAAATAAGATTTATGATTTTATATTAAATAATTAAAAAATATAAGTAAATATAAAAATTTATAATTAGTAAAAAATGCTGTCACGTAACACCCACAAACACCAAATAATTTTTCCAAAAATAGCATATGGTTGCGGTTGACCTAGGCCCGACCTATATCCGGAGAGAATCCATGAAAATACTTTAAAATTACATTCCACTCTGAAGTATGTACCTTTTGTACTGAAAGCCTTTAAAAGAAAGTATTTTCGTACTTAAGTTATCTAAATTTGGAGGGAAAAGAAATAGTTTCTCCTAACTACAAATAGTCTGAACATCATTTCCCATTCACCTTTCGCTTCTCTTTTCACATCTCCTCTCTTTGTGTACCTTTGTCCTCTCTTTACAATCGACCTCCTCTACTCTCTTGTCCCATTTTCACATGGACCGCATCTCCTTCATTTTCCACCACTTTCATTTTTTCCTATTCACAAAAGTAATTTTTCTCAATACATAACCCTCCATTATAAACAATCTCCATCTACTACCTATCATGGCCTACTTTATTTCCATTCACTCAACCACTGTTACTACCACCCACTCAAGCAACCACTCATTAACCTTTCTTTCTCCTTACCTTACTCTATAAGCCATCATACTCTCCTCTCTCACAACCCAATCCACTTTCTCCTCCAACTTACTTTTTTCACATGTTATCTACTCAACACATCCAATTTGAAACCCTAAACCTTAAATTTCAATTCATAAGCTCTTTAGTCTTCCAATGACACATCCATTATAATTTTTTTTTTTTTTCATATGATATGAAGCTAATTTTTGAAATTAGTAGGGTTGGTGATGAGTTTTAAGGGTGGAAATGTTTTTAGATTGGCAAAGATTTAAATTTGGATTTAAGGTAGTTTCAAATTCCACTAAAAAAATCACCTTTATTAAAAAAAAAAAAAATGTGTCAAATTTTTTTTTTTACCTTCCAAATCCATCTATTGTACAAGAATTTTAAAGTATATATAATTTTTTTTCAAATTCAAAAAAAATTCACTAAAGACAAAAAATAAAAAAAAACAACAAAACTCAATTTGTATTTTAGTTAAGAATGTTACTCGGGCGGGTTCGGTCGGATTAGGAGATTGTTAAAGCCCAACTCAAGTTGTGCCAAAACCTGCTCAGGCCTGAATTGTAACCCAAGGTTATCTGCCTAAGCCCGACACGAGTTAAACTCGAATTGCCCAAGTTATCCGAATTGTATGTGAATTTTAGTTTTTTTTTAGCTAAATTATTAATTTATTAAAATTAGATTTTATTTATATTTTTTTTAAAAAAACATTAATGATATCAAAACAAATAATTTATATAATGTATGTGAGATGCCACTATGATAGTCTTAATAATTTATGAGTCAAAATAAAGAATGTAAGATTTTGTGTTATTTGCGTGTATAATATATATTCAATAATATAAATTACTTTAACATCATGTGATGACTAATAATTTATATTTATATTTAATATTTTTATATATCTATATATGTATAATTTTGGTTTTAGAATTGCTCAGGTTATTTCATATTTTTGTCCAAACCCGCTCAAATTTAATTCAAGCTACTGAATTTTTGCCCAAGCCCGTATTAAATTAAAAAATATCTTATCCAAGTCCTAAAAAAATTTGAGCTCGGCTCGGGTGGCTCGGTTGAGCCTGCTTAAGTTGCATTCCTAATTTTAGTGGACTTTTTTTTCATTTTTTAAAAAATTTTATTATTACTGTTTTATTTTGTTTAATCAAGTAGAGCCTACAAATATTATTTTTTTTTTATTTCCAAAAAAAAAAAAAAATACTCAATACGAAAGAAACAAAAACAAAAAGGCCAATCACAGTCACACCATAAGGACTAAAATAAGAAAACTCGGCCCTTATTGGTTTCAATTTTGAAAACAATTTTTGAAAGCCCAAAATTGAAAGCTGATTTGTTTAGAATTTTCTCAAAACCATTCCAAAATTTTCACTATTACTCAAACTATTTCAAATCAATTCTAAATTTTTAACTATGACCAAAATTATTTCAAATCTATTCCCAAAACCATTTCAAATCTAATTTATCTCTATTATCAAAGCTACATTAATTGAACCAATATCTATGTTAAAGTATGTAGTGTATCATATTTTTAAGTTAATCGAAATTTTTTGAATGAAACTTTATAACGAAGTTATTTGTCAATTTATATAAAAATTTAAAGTAAAATGAATTTTTATTTCAAATTAATACAAAGATATTTTTGAAAAGGGTAAATTACAAACACACCCCTAAGGTTAACTTAAATTACAAATTATCCCCTGTGGTTTTAGAAATTACATTATGCTCTCTAAGGTTGTCACGACCCAAACCCGGTACCCAAAGGGTCGGTGTCATAATAAGATAAAAATAAAATAATTCGGATAATTCTGTAGTCGCAATGCAAGCGGATAAATAAAATAAAATAATTGGGTATCAACTGTTTATTTAAAAGGAAACAAAACATAGTCATTTGAACTTCATTGTATTATAAGAGTCTGATAATAAAAGATAGAAATCTTAAAAAAACAAAACAACACAGCGATTCATTTTCCATCTTGATCCCGCTAAACCTCGTCACCTGAAAAGGGTAATAACTATAAGCACATAGCAGAGTGAGAGATATTATACTGTGAATGTAGGGGCACAAAATAGCCATGAATATTTATTTAAGCTAAAACATTAACATAATTTGAGTTGAACACACAAATTAATTCAGTGCCAGAAACTGAAATGATTAACTATAACCACGGTACATAACAGAACAGAACAGGGGTCACTAAGTGACAATCACTACAGGGGTCAATGGATCCATGACAAACAGGGGACCACAAAATGGTCAAACAGGGGCCAATGGTTATTTAAGTCTCCCAATGCGTGGGACTCCCGTGGTGGTATTTACAAAACATAATTGTATATAAGGTCATAGTCAAATATTTTTTAAAATATAAACAAACATACCCATGGGCTTCCTTTTAGGCAAATGGGATTCAAAAAATAATCCACGTAACTGAAACTTTTATAAAACATAACTTTTATTAATATACTAATAAAACATAACTTGCATAAAATAGATTTTGGTAAGTCAAAACATAAGTAAAATACATTTTAGTAACTCAAGGTATAATATAACTCACCTTAAATTAATTTCTTTATTCTTTCTTTCCACCACTCAAGATTCTCACCCGTGTTGTCATCTTTTCTACTTTCTATTTCTTTTTTTTCCATTCCCTTAAACATGCCAATCTTCCCTATTTATAGGAAAATAATCCGTGGGTAACAAGTTACGAAAAGTTCCGTATATTTGACGCGTGTAAATCTGGCTGATCATCTTGATTCACTTCGATCCACCCTTATCTATTTATTTATTAACTTGTTTGATTTTATCTCTTTACTTTGACCATTGACCATTCTGCTCTCTTAGGACTTAGGACTTATTTTGACTATTTTACTAATTTAAAAGTTATTACCTTCTTTGGTAATTCATGATGACTCTTAAAATTATATATGACTATAAATAAGATTCATGTCTAAAAACTTCACTACCTAACTATAAAACCTTACTTACCACTTACTAAAATATTTAATGTGTGGTGTTTCACAACGTATTTCCTTAACAATAAAATTTCCAATTTCCTAAATTATGCATTTATTTATTTATTTATTTATTTATTATTATTATTATTATTATTATTATTTATTTATTTATTTATTTTTTAATTTCTAAGCTCTATTTATTGTAATGTTAAATTTAAAACATTCGGGTGTCACATTTCTCCTCTCCTTAAAAGAAGTTTGTCCCAAAACTTGACGTACCTTGGTTTTCGAAGAGGTGTGGGTATTTGGCTCGCATTTGGCTTTCAGTTTCCCACGTTGCTTCATCGACATGATAGTTTCTTCATAAGACCTTTATGAGGGGTATAGTCTTATTTCGAAGGATCTGATCACGATGATCGACAATCTGTACAGGTTGCTCTTCGTAAGAGAGATCTTCTTAAACTTCTAAGTTCTCATGATCGAAAACATGTTTTGGATCTCGAAGATATCGACGAAGTATCGAAACGTGAAACACATTATGGACATTGGATAGTTCGGGTGGAAGCGCAAGACGATATGCTACTGGACCAATCTTTTCGAGTATCTCGAATGGGCCGATGTATCGTGGTCTTAACTTTCCTCGCTTTCCAAATCGGATAACCCCTCTTGTCGGTAAGATCTTAAGAAACACATGATCACATTTTTGAAATTCTAAGTCTCGTCTCCATGTATCTGCATAGCTTTTCTGGCGGCTCTGGGTAGTGCGAATTCGTTGTTGGATGAGTTGAATTTTATTGCTCGTTATTTGCACAATCTCGGGGCCTAATAATTTTCTGTCTCCGATTTCCGTCCAACACAGAGGTGATCAACATCTCCTTCCATACAGTGCCTCGTACGGTGCCATTCCAATACTTGCATGGTAGCTATTATTATACGCGAACTCCACTAAAGGTAGATGATCATCCCAGTTACCTTTGAGGTCTAGTACACACAAACGTAACATATCTTCCAAGGTCTGGATCGTCCTTTCAGATTGCCTATCAGTTTGCGGGTGATAAGCCGTGCTAAACCTTAGAGTGGTTCCCAAAGCTTCTTGTAATTTGTTCCAGAAGTGAGACACGAAGCGGGGGTCTCTATCGGATATGATTGAAACTGGGGTGCCATGCAAGCGAACGATTTCCTTAATGTAGAGAGTAGAGAACTTAGAGAGGGAGTACATGATTCTGATTGGTAAAAAATGCGCCGACTTCGTCAATCGATCTACAATAACCCATATTGCATCATTCTTCGAGACTGATTACGGTAGCCCGACCACGAAATCCATAGTAATATGCTCCCATTTCCATTCGGGAATAGGGAGTGGCTGCAACACACCTGCAGGTCTCTGATGCTCTGCTTTAACTTGTTGACAACACAGGCATTTGGAGACATGGTTTGCTATGTCTTTTTTCATTCCTGTCCACCAGAAGTGTTCCTGTAGATCGTGATACATCTTCGTATTGCCAGGATGGATCGCAACCCTCGAGCTATGAGCTTCTACCAATATCTTTTTCTTGAGTTCTGGAAGGTCGGGTACGCAAATTCGATTTTGAAATTTTAGCATCCCATTGCTTATTGTAAAGTCAAGAACAGGCGTGTTTCCTTGCTCCTCGTACTTTTTCTTCAAAAGTTTATCTTCACATTGGCGGGCTCTAATTTCTTCAGTCAACTCGGGTTCCACGATTATGTTGGCGAGCAACCCATGGATCTTGCGGGGAATGAGGGTACATGCCAAACTTTTGGTCGTTTTTCGGCTTAATGCGTCTGCTACTACGTTAGCTTTGCCGAGATGATGATGGATCTCTATATCGTAGTCCTTCATAAATTCTAGCCATCGTCGTTGCCTCATATTCAATTCCTTCTGTGTAAACAGATATTTGAGACTTTTGTGATCAGTGTAGACCTTACAGGCTACTCCGTAGAGATAATGATGCCAGATTTTGAGGACGAAGATCACCGCAGCCAATTCTAGATCATGAGTTGGATAGTTCCTTTCGTGAGTCTTTAGCTAGCGGGAGGCATAAGCAATGACCTTCCCGTTTTGCATAAGAACGCAACCCAAACCATTGTATGAGGCATCGCTATAAACTTAAGCAAAATGTATAAGTTTTCGTTTGTTTACACCTTTGGTAAGTCAACTCACAAAAAGAGTAAGTGTTCATAAAAGGTGTAAATGATTTCACAGAAGGCATAAGTTTTCAGAAAAAGGTGTAACTTTTCAGAAATCAGTTACGCCTTTTTCTGAAATTCCTTACGCCTTTCGTGAAAATATACCCCTTTTGTGAAAACTTATACGTTTTTTGTGACCATTTACACCTTTAGACATATAATATATTATTTTATTAATTTACCTGGAAAGTGACCTGCTTAGCAGGTCACCAATGTGTAAGTTTTCAAATATTTTGATATAACCCAATACATACAAATGTGTAAATGCAAAATAGAAGGGTGTAAGTGCCTTGCATACCATATGCAAGGCACACTTAAGAAAAGTCCATTCAATAATATAAATTACTTTAACATCATGTGATGACTAATAATTTATATGTATATTTAATATTTTTATATATCTACATATGTATAATTTTGGTTTCAGAATTGCTCGGGTTGTTTGATGTCTTTGTCCAAACCCGCTCAAATTTAATTCAAGCTTCTCAATTTTTGCCCAAGCCCGTATCAAATTCAAAAATATCTTATCCAAGTCCTAAAAAAATTCGGGCTCGGCTTGGGTTGAGCCTGCTTAAGTTGCACCCCTAATTTTAGTGGACTTTTTTCATTTTTTTTAAAATTTTATTTTTACTTTTTTATTTTGTTTAATCAAGTAGAGCCTACAAATATATATATTTTTTATTTCCAAAAAAAAAAATACTCAATACGAAAAAAACAAAAACAAAAAAGCCAATCACAGTCACACCATAAGGACTAAAATAAGAAAACTCGGCCCTCATTGGTTTCAATTTTGAAAACAATTTTTGAAAGCCCAAAATTGAAAGATGATTTGTTTAGAATTTTCTGAAAACTATTCCAAAATTTTCACTATTACTCAAACTATTTCAAATCAATTCCAAATTTTTTACTATGACCAAAATTATTTCAAATCTATTCCCAAAACTATTTCAAATCTAATTTATCTCTATTATCAAAGCTACATTAATTGAACCAATATCTATGTTAAAGTATGTAGTGTCTCATATTTTTAAGTTAATTGAAATTTTTTGAATGAAACTTTATAACGAAGTTATTTGTCAATTTATATAAAGATTTAAAGTAAAATGAATTTTTATTTCAAATTAATACAAAGATATTTTTGAAAAGGATAAATTACAAACACCCCCTTAAGGTTGCACACCATATGCAACCCAATTGTTAGCCGTTAGATTACAATAATTGATCAAGACCATTGAATTGTTTAATTGTGAAAAAGTTGAAACTGGGGCAACCGGTTAATGCTTGTATTTGCATGATTGCATCCCACTCACTCTCTGTATTTCGTCTCTATCTCTCTTTATTCTCCTCTCTGTGTAAGGTTGAGTCAGTGTAACTGTTGATTTCCATTAACAGGGAGAAGCCCCTATTGGGTTCGTTCCATTGATGAAGCTCTGTAGGGAACAGTATAACGGGCGATTTCCAACAACAACGTAACTACAAGGCTGTGTTGCTTCCATTGCTGAAGTGAAGCCCTTCTCTCGAACTAGATATGAGGTATGGAGCTGTCTCCCTCTCTCTGTCTCCCTCTCTGTCTCTCTGGCCTGTTCACTTCAGCTATTTTCCCTCAACTAAACCCCCATCCTAACTTCAACCGCTCTACGCTTCGCTCCAACGGAAACCCCTTCATTGGCAGCTAACCTTTCTCTTTCTCTTTCTGAAGTAAGTGTTTGTGTTTGCACAAACAGGTAAACCGTGTGAAAATGTCATGTTTGTGTTTGTGTTAACAATTTTCGGTCATCAAGTAATTGTTTGTAGTAATGTCGTGTGCAGTATGGCCCCAGCGGAAGTTAAAAGGGAAGGTGATGATTATGACATTCCAAATGAAGCAGATGACATTCGTTTGATGAATGAAAGTCGGGCAGAACCTGATCATGGTTGTGAAGCTAGTCTGAGCAATGAAGAAGCAACCAACATAAACGTTGAAGATAGCGGAGCCGATGTGAAAAAAGAAATGGTTGACGATGCTCATCGCAATGACATGGTTGGTGATGTTGAACGTGCTATTCTGGAACATAAATTTGATTCGGCCGAAGATGGAGAAGATTTCTACAATGCGTATGCTAAAGCCAAGGGATTTAGTATACGAAAATCCAGATTTAACACAAATAAAGAGGGAAAGGTCGTTAGTAGGCTGTGGTTGTGTTCAAGGGAAGGTCAGAGATTACCAAAATACTTGGACCGTGTTGCTGAGAAGAGTAGAGCTCCCAAGGCACTAACAAGAGTAGGTTGCAAAGCCCAATTTCGCATACGGTACGATGCAGATGTTGGTGAAGGGGGAAAGTATGTTGTGACTCACTTCGTCGCAGACCACAACCATGAATTGGCGGAACAACACTGTGTGATGTATCTGAGGTCACATCGCAGTTTAAACAGCGCTGACAAAGCTCAAGCAATGGCTATGCGCAATGTCGGTGTGAAGACTAGCCAAATCATGGACTATATGGTAAATCAGTCCGGGTCTTATGAGAATGTTGGTTTCATCCGTACGTATCTGCACAACCATATTCAAGTCGAACGTAGAGCAGAAGTTGAGGATGGTGATGCGTAGGGTGCGCTGGTTTACCTATGCGCAAAACTTGATGTTGATGCACGTTTTTTTTACAAGTATGATGTGTGTAACGATAACAAGTTACAAAATCTGTTCTGGTCAGATTCGAAATCGCGGGCCGACTACGCAAAGTTTGGTGATGTGTTGATATTTGACTCAACTTACAGAACCAATGCATACAAGAAACCGTTTGTCATGTTGGCTGGTGTGACTAGCCACTTTAGGACCACGATATTTGCATGTGTTTTGCTAGCTAATGAGACAATTGAGACATACACATGGGTTTTGGAAACATTTATGGAGGCGATGGGCAATAAAGCACCTGTGTCCGTACTGACAGATGGGGATAAGTCGATGCGAGAGGCAATCAGAAGAGTATTTCCAGATGCAAGACATCGATTATGTAATTGGCATCTTGGGAAAAATGCTGTTTCAAATGTTCACATAAGTGGCTTTGCACATGCTTTCAAGCAGTGCATGGACATGGAAACGGATGAGACAAAGTTTGAGCATGGCTGGACGACAATGGTCGAAGAATTTGGACTTCAAACCAACAGTTGGGTGTTGGAGACATATGAGAAGCGTCATATGTGGGCTGAGGCATATATGCGTGGACATTTCTTTGCTGGGATGAAGAGCACTCAGTGCTCGGAGTGTATGAATGCTTATTTCAATCCCTTCCTCCAACACAAATTGAAGCTATATGAATTTGTTAGGCACTATGATCGGGCTCTTGCAAGGATAAGGTATAACGAGGCTGGAGATGATGCTGAAACAAATAACACTTTTCCGGTATTGATTACTCCATTGCGAGATATAGAGAGACATGGAGCTGAGCTATTCACCCGAAATATATTTAGAATGTTCCGTGATGAAATCTTAGAAGAGGGGAAGTTGAATGTGAAGGATGTGTTCCCTTTGCCGGATGGTCAGAAATGCTACTATATTCATAAGTACAGAGTGAAGGACAGATCATGGATAGTAACACACAGTCCAATGGATGCTGCAATGAGATGTTCTTGCATGAAGTTTGAGTCGTTGGGGCTACCTTGCTGCCACATGATATGTGTTATGAAGCTAAAAATTTAACGCAAATTCCCCCAACTTGTGTGCTTCATAGATGGACAAGGGCTGCAAGCAAGGATGGCCAGCAATGGCCTCAACCCTCAATTGATAGCACTACAACACAGACGGCCCGGTATGGGATATTGTGTTCTTCCTACAACGAAATGTGTTTCTATGTCTCGCAATCAACGGTGGCCTCAACCCTCAATTGATAGCACTACAACACAGACGGCCCGGTATGGGATATTGTGTTCTTCCTACAACGAAATGTATTTCTATGCCTTGCAATCAACGGAAGGTTTCAAAGAGGCTAGGGATGCATGTCTTCCGATGACGAGCCGGATGAAGGAGTTATATGAGAGGAATTTGAACGGTGGGAATGGAGACAAAGGGAAACATTCATTCCGTCGACAATTTGGAGTGGAAGATCCTGATGTTGTGAAGACAAAAGGGAACCCAGGACGGGCCTCGTCCAACTGTCGAAGACCAAGAAAATGTGGGAATTGCAAATGCATTGGGCACACAAAGCGAACGTGTCCTAAGGTTCGGTTCAGCCGAACAGTGGGTACTAACTCAGATGCAGATACACCCCACATAACTGACCATGAGTACAATGCAGAGTCATTGCCCGTTCGTTGCAAAACTGGGTTGGTGGATCCAAGTACACCGCACATTAAGCGCTGCAAAACTGGGTTGATGGATCCAAGTACACCGCACATTAAGCAACGGCGACTATTTTTCGATGTTTCTCTTGATTCCAAGCAACCTGTGGGCCAATACGGTAGTGTTGAAGCAGCAGTGTGGAAAAATGATTCGAACACAATTGATGAGGTGAATCAGGTAATTGTATAATTTGTATGATTTACTTATTCCCTTAGCTATTGGAAACACATGGAAATAATGTATGTAGTTTTCATTTTGCACGGATTGCTGTACGTAACGTGTAAATAATTGGTTATGTACAATGCCAGGAATTGTAAATTTCCCATATTGTTTAGAGTGATGTTGTCATTTGTGTTTGCAGTGACTTGTCATTTTCAAAACTAACTGAAGGTGAGGTGAGATATATATGGGTTGTCTGTGTGTTGTTTTGGGTGGGAAATTGGCTTATGCCTATATTCCAAGATTCCTATTGCGGGTTGCTTGTTTCTGTTCCATATTTGGTTGGATCTAACTGAAGGGTTTTTTGCGGTGTGGTTTATCAACTAACGATGTGTTTCGCTTCGTATTGATTTGTTATGACTTGTGTCGGTAAATTAGTATTATATTTCGAGTAAAATACGAATTTTGTCCAAGTGGGTTTGCAAAATTACATACCAGCACATGCATTTTGTATATAATCCAAGTGGCAGTTAATTTTGGGTGTTACTTGGAGAAAGTAACCCAACGAACTCGTTACTTTATCTCCATGCCGATCGGTATATGAATTACGAGTTACGAACAGGAGTTATGAAATTATTTAATGTTTACTATTGAAGTAGGGTTTATTGTTAGTAAAATTATAGTGGGCCTATATGGACAGCAACGAAGCAGTAATTTAAAGTTGACAAGTTCAAGAAGAAAATCAAGCAATTATGGTATTGGTTCAAATGCCTGAAATGAATGAAGACTTCTTTCGATGAACTGATGGTAACAAAGTAGAAAGTAACAAAGTAGAAAGTAGAAAGTAGAAAGTAAGTTGTTGTGTTGTTGTGTTGTTTGTAACAAAGTAGAAAGTAGAAGGGAAAAAACTACACAGAAGTTACAATGTAGAAAGTAAGTTGCGTTGTTGTTCGTGTCCTCTCTCTGCAAACATTCTGCCCTTTATAGCTATAAAATTCCCACGACCCCATGATCTGCCAATTCTGCAACTGCTTCTGTGCAACTTCTGTAACTGCACAGTCATTTCCGTGTATTGAAACCACATAAAAGCTTCTCTTGTACCTGTCGAAGTGCATATAATTGAAGTTGCCACCTGTGCCCAGGTTCTTTTAGCCTTTCCTCGACAGATACAGACTCCCAATTCGTTCATGTTTCCTCTTGGAGGGTGGCCACTAAATCTATGAGCACTGCCAGTAACTGCTCCAACGTGTAAGTCAGGTGGCATGCAAGATTCAATGTTAGTTGAATGGAGCAGCTGTTGGGAGGATGTGGGAAAAATAGGTGCAAAGAGGAATTTTTAATCTAATATCCAATCAGAATGTAGCTGAAAATATGAGTGAACTTTTTTTTAAAAAAAAGTAGTTCCCATTTTTTGGATTATAAACCCGAGATGTATATTTTGTTTTTGATAGAAATAAGTTGTGTATTTTCGTTACGTAAAATGTAGGACAACAATTGTGTTTAAGTCATTACAATACAGAAAAAGGTTATTTCAAACGTATTTTCAAGTTTACCGACATTGAATATATTTTGATTAAATTACAGGGAAAATTCAATATTTGGCAGAGTTTGATGATTCATAGTCAGGGGCAGTAACTGTGAGTGGCCAAGTGTTGCGGTTCATTGACCCAGTTTGCAAGGACTGTGGTTGTGTTTAGTGGACAATATTCTGTCAATTTTTCTCTCATAATGATGAGGGACATGCCCCACAATAGTGAAAAGGAAGGTCGACAGGGAAGAGTCAATATTTGGCAGAGTGGACTTGAAGATTCGAAGTCGGGGCAGTTACAGTGGCAGTTATGGTGTAGACGTGTGGGATCATGCAATGATGGGCCACAAAAACAGTATACGGATATCAATACTAAACCTCCACTTCTATCTGTCGAGCTCCCTTTTCTTGTGTTTATTTCATGGCCACCAACTGTTTGAAACTTCTGTCGACAGAGCAAGGCTCCTGCTTTGTCTCATGATTCCTCCTGAAAGTGTGCCCGCTAACTCCGTGACTGGTGGTAAAAACTTCCCCTATCACTTCTAGGTGACCCACATGCAGAGAGCCCACTTTCAGGTCGTGGACATTCCTTCAGACTTGGCCACATGCCCTCGATTAAGTGGACCATCTGTCGACAGAGACTGGCAAAACTTGGTGCAAACAATGGCCCCCATGTTCAAGTTAAATATTGCGGAAGTGATTGAGACCCCCCAATCACCACCACCCCCCCCCCACACACACACACGTGGGGGCTGCTGTTTGGAGAAGGAAAAAAAATAAGAAATTGAAAAAAAAAAAAAAAAAAGTGGCCAATCAGAGAGAGAGGGGGTCATGGGGGTCCAAGTCATATGATATTTAACTTCAACGAGGGGGCCATTGTTTGGGCCCAAAACAAACATAAAGTACAGCCCAATATAAGAGCTTTTAAATATACTGGCCCCATCATAAGCTATAAAAGACCCACCCTTTCAACTTCAAACCACTTCATTTCCCTCTGATTCGAACTCCCCAGACTGTACTCCTTCTTCTCAACCATTGCCGTTCAAAACCAGAGCACCACAAAACCCTAAGCCATGGCACCGAAAAAATCTCAACCATCTCCATCTGAGGAGAACAATGAAGACCTACTCCGCTTCCCAGACCCTATCAGAGCACGTATCGCTCCTCTAAAATTTGCTGCAACCCTATTGCCCAGCCCAAGCTCTGTCGCTAAGGCTACTCTAGGCCCTACCTTCGCGTCTTACTTCCCAGACGAGCTAGCTCCATACTATCCCCTTGGTAATGGTGAGAACCTTCTTCTCAACCAAGCTGGACTCAAGTGGACTAACTGGAATGTCAGCAAAAACCCACTCAGAGGGTGGAGGTCACCAGACTCTGATTGGCGAAGCATCAAGCAATTGTGGTATTGGTTCAAATGCCTGAAATGGATGAAGACTTCTTTCGATGAAGTGATGGTAACAAAGTAGAAAGTAACAAAGTAGAAAGTAGAAAGTAGAAAGTAAGTTGTTGTGTTGTTGTGTTGTTTGTAACAAAGTAGAAAGTAGAAGGGAAAAAACTACACAGAAGTTACAATGTAGAAAGTAAG